ACTGGGTTTATGCCTTGGTGCACTCAGTTCCTATGGAGTGGATACAGTACTGATAAATTAAAACTTTTCCTGCCTTCCATCAGTTTTTTTCTGCTTTTTGCTATCTTTCCACCTTGAAATGTCAAAGTACCAAGAAAATAAATCGTTGTGGCCCAAATGCATTATTCTAGGTACTGTCATCTGTAAAATCAAGTTTGCTGCAGTCCTTGAGCGCAGCACTTTCTCAGAACTCCCAGCAGCCTTGGAAAGCCTGGGTAGGGCAAAGGTCGCTGCCACAATCCAACAGTCCCCGTACCCACAATCCCCAGTAATCTCTCACTCACTACCAGAGTCAACACAGTTGGCCTTTCAAACGTTCTTATCCCACCATCCAAGTCAACACTCTCACCCTTCACAAATCCTTATCATACCACCCAAGACTACACGCTTGGCCCCTGAAAAATCCAGAGCTCATTTCTGTTTCAATAAAATATCCCGGCATTTCACAGAAAGGTCACCTTTCTACAGTGGCTGGGTATTCGGGCTGGTTGGTAATGCATTGTCCTGCAGGGTTTGCTAACGTCAGAGTGTAAGGATGTGATTAAACTCAGCATATGGAGCTATCACGGAGTAACTATACACGGTATTACAGTTATAAAATCATTTCTCAGGAACAAAATACATAATTTTAGTCTTTATCGTAGGGATTTAGGACAGACATTGTCCACTACGGTAAGGTAAATAGCCAATATAGGCCTTTTTCAGCTCCAATAGCAGACTTTGAAAGAACTAGCACCGTACAAATCCAGAAGGAAAACCTCAAATAAATTTGCTGATTGTGTTTCAGACTTGTATCTTTCTTGTAATATTGTGGCTGAGATGTACAGTTTTGCATTTGCTGAGTAACAAATTTTGTGAAATAAAAATATGGAGTTTACTTTGATTCTTTCTCTCTTTACCAAACATAGTTGCACCTGTTGGTAAGTTGCATGATAGGCTGAAGCAAATTTATGCTAATAAGAACAGGGCTTACCTATAGATCATGCAGTCAGACACAAGACAGCAACGCAGCACATGAAAAGAAAAGAACAATCAATTAGAATGTATCAAAAATCAATATTCATGTAATATTAGCCTAAATAGAATATTTCATATAAAAGCAACACTGAAACTTTCCCAAATGTAACAGTAACTTCTCGTAGGAGAAAAACATTTTCCATTTGTCATCCAGAAATAAATCGTGCCTAAAACCTTTTTTCACAGTGCTTGCACCATTTTGCTGGATGAAGGCCTTCTCTGGTTGGTAGTGACATCAGCATATTTATCATGCTCCCCCCACTTATCTGTGTGCCATTGGTATAATTCCCACTCTGCGCCAAAATGGGCCTGAATTATTAGTTTAATTACCCCCTTGAGCTAAGTATTGATCAAATCATCTCTGATGAATAGGACAGCTTTGGGTCTTCTGCGATCATTGTATTGGAAATATTCCTGCTACGCCTTCCCAGTGGCACATAATGTACACTGAGAGTTCAACTATTCAACTTTACTACCAACAACTTCAACTAAGTATGGCATGATTAAGAGGACACATAAATTACTGAAACAGGTATCAGAGGTGCTCTGTGTGGTATTATATCTTTAGTGTTTTATGGCTCATATCGTCCATGTTTTAGTGCAATAAAAACCCTCCCCCTCCCATTATTGTGTCCATGGTGACTTCATATTGCTACACTAATGAAGAGGCGGGGACTTCTATTTTATCAGTCTTTAGGTGATCAGTCTTGCTCAGTTTAGGTCTGGGATGACACATAAAGATAATGTGTAATGGCATAGGCCATGTACAAGAGATCTTTTCCATGCCTGAAGCCAAACTAGAATGTCATAAATGAATTCAGGAAATGTAGTCCCTGAGGCAAATCGTACAAAAAGCCCATAAATGTTTGGTATGATTATTTATATGAAGAAATTATTGCAGTTCTTTAACATGGACATAGCATAATCAGACAAAAAGTGACGACGTACAAAATTATGGTGTATTCTGGAGCAATGGCAATGACAGTGTTGTGCAAGACATTATTTCTTTACCTATTTTTTTTCTTTTTTATTTGTTTACCCAGGGTAAAACATGTCGCCGCAAGGGCGTTTTTCAATGTTCCCTGCGGACATATACATTTACAAAATATACTTATTAGCTTAAAATAACAAACAGGAAAACAAAGGTACAAAGAAGCTTAATTACAAAAATAACATATTGGTAAAGTGTTTCAAAATCATACAGTAAACTAATAACTTATATGAAACAAGCGAATAAAATATATATGTATAGTCGAATGGGGTAGGAAATTTCCTGAGCAGCCTTTAACCCCTGATTCTCCTATTGAGTCATTTTATAATTAGTCCCAACACTCTAAGTGAGTTGAGCTGGTCTCAATCATGATGTTTCTGACTTTGGGAGTGAATGGAGAATGAAGATACTGTCATAGTCTCATTCATGTAACCTGTGACCTTGTAGTGACCTTCAGGTCTTGTTGCATAGTGGCCAATGAGTAAAAAAATTATAATCTAAAGGTCTGAAGCACCCTCAAAGTACCCCCTAAGCAATCATACAGTAAAAATCACCAGTAAGGCTTGCCATGGAGAAAGACACAGAAGTTGATCTACATTCTATAATATGGAATTTCCCTTGACATTTTCATGCAGATGAAACCTTTTGCAAGACTATGCACATGCATGTAGGATGTAGATATATGGTACATTTCACCACAGTGCTGATATATGCTTGAAAGGAATTTCCTGTTCACCTTCTGTTCAATCATGGGCTTTCTTCTTATCATTACACGTCTGTCCTCACTTTACAGTCTCGCCAAAAAAGCCCGCAGAGAATCGCGGGCAAACCCTAACCTTTCAAATTGCCCGAAGGAGGCAATAAGAAGAATGCCAGGCCTGTAGATTTACTGGGGATTGGCCACGGTACCATGCCGGGAAAATGCCAGTGTGGTGTTTATGCCCGACATTTTCCACCGCACTGGAAACTGATGGCTGTTCTCTCTATAACAGACCATTGAACTTTCCCAAAGTCAGCATTAAATCAGGCAAAATCTCCAATCCAAGCAGACTTCACGACGCTCATCAATGGAGCTAGGAATTTGATCCGTCAGACCATCATGGACTAGATTTCGGCTGATAACAGGCAGCCCTTGGTTGATAATCAGCAATAATTGCCTTCTCCTGTCACCTGTGAGGACTAATTATCTTTTGCAGAAGTGTATTCGTTAGTTAACGAACAGTTATAAGGTCACAAATGACAAGCATTACTCACAAACACTCAATGTCCATGATAACAAAATATTTATCAAATTCAACCCTAATTCTTGACTCGTTCATGTTTATCTACGTTTTTAAAAAATGTGAAACTAAACTTGAGTTAACACGTCAAAACTGAAAGGGCAGTGGGACAGAGCCATGACAGACAAATGTCATTATGTAGCTTAATTTACAATTTCGGTCCCACCCTTGGAAATCCCCTCTAATGCCCTCTGACAGCCAGCACGTCGTTGATGCATGGTGCTCTATAGGTGCTCCCAGGAATGCCTTCCAGGGCTTTGTGTGCCATGTGATTGATTAAAATGAGGGGCTACAGTTTGGCCTCCATCTCTTACCACATCAGTCAGTGTCTGGAAAATGCATGCTCCATCTCGGAGAGCACAATTCTATCCACAGTTACACAAAAGCAGAACACACTACGAGTTGTGTCGTGCTATAAAACTTCCTACAAATAAAAAAGATCTTCTGAGCATAATTTGTGGTTTACAGCAGGGTCACATTTGTTGCAGACTGATCTTGATATTGTAGGGTTTTCAAACAGGCTGTGACAGAACCAGACGACGACATTGATCTAAGAACACGTTTTCTATAAAAGACAGCTGAATTTTGCAGGAAGCAGGCACCACAATCTATTACAAATTCCCTGACATTGTACAAAATATGTGACAGGAACCTTATGTAACTAAAACATTGACAAACTGTAAACCAGCTTTGTCTTTAGTATCTAGCTAACTGACATACAGAATGTCCTGTAAATGAAGATGTGTTTCAATATTTCCTACTGAATTTTTAAGTTCTAAGTAAGCATCAACGGCTGAAAAAAAACTGTAACAGTTCTTAGCAACACTCCACATAAGGTCAGGACTTATCGCATATCTGGAAAACTCTTATCAAGAATCTTAAGCCACATCAAGAGCACTTCGTTTTGACCTATAACCAGAAGCGAATTGGCCCAATTTTGATTCCAAGATGGTGTCTTGCTTGACATACATTGCTAGCTATGCACAAGAAAACTGGCACTCAACCAACTGGGTAGATTTTGAAAACTATCAGACGTTTTGAGTTACTACTTTTTGTCAGTGCCAGTTTTTAAAAATCTATCCAGCTGCTTGAGTAACAGTTTTTTTTGTGTGTATGTCATAACCTGGATGTCTAACCTTCATCAAGACATCAACGTATTTGTACCTACATGTATGGCAACTAATATTGGTGTCGCAAAGGTGTTAGCAGCTGTTGGTATTTTAAGACATTTTGTAATTAGTACAAATAAGAACATTGCCTCTGGGCATATTCACACAGCACAGTGTGCCAATATGTTAGCATGACACGTGAAGCCTTTGAGTATCCATTAACACTTCATCATGACTCCTTGAAGATTATTGGGGTCTTCCTTAAGGAATTTAACAGCCTTTGATTCATACAAATAAGAACATTGCCTCTGGGCATATTCACACAGCACAGTGTGCCAATATGTTAGCATGACACGTGAAGCCTTTGTTAGACAAATATAGTCCGTATCCGCCTCAAAGATACGCTTGTGTGTTATAGTACTGGTCAGAAAAGTCGGCTAGCTACATTAGCTTTATCCAACGCCACAGGGAATTAACAAAGCTTGGCTAACACTTTTTGTAGCAGTGATATATGTTCAGCTGGCAGGCTACTAAGTATGCGGTCCTTTTTTATCTTTTCTGCAGGAGTTTTATCTTGGATAATCCAGCAGCTGCCATCTTAAAAAGGGACAGAGTAAGTACCACAAGCTTCTGTTTTATGGATGTGGCTGTAGCGTCAATATGTTGTAGTTTTATTAGCTTCTCGGTGTTATTCAGATGTGATTCAATTCCGTCGCATTCTTTCGTAGCGGCGCCTACGTAATGGGGCCGCGGCGTTACAAATCATTCCGGGGGTCAGTCCGAGCCACGGGAAGCTAGCGACAGTCAAGTTCAAAAGAACGCCACGTGAAATATGTTGAAGACCTTGATGTACATTCACCCAAGCACGGGGGCTGGCTAGCATAGAGATACGTGTCATGACCTCCGTTGTATAGCCTAGCCGGAGACATCTGCATCTGATCCCCCAACTTGGATGATGAAAAGCTTCACTGAAGGTGACTTTGGCTGCTGGAAGGTCAGCGAGTGAGAAATGCTCCGCAGGGGACATGGGGCGATGGCTAAGGGATATCAATTTGACAACGGTGAAAGGAAGGGCTTAATCAAAAGAGGAGGAAATAAGTCCCTGCCAAGGAAATAAAGTCAAAACGAATGCGAACACGAGCATGCATGCTCAAGACATGCATTGGTGATGAAGTAGATCAAATCAGTTTTACGCTTGCCTGGATTCCGATAAATTAGAGTTGCACCAAGTGGCATGCATCAGGGAGGAAATGAAGCTTGACAAAATGATGTCTGTCAAAATAAGCGACGTTTTAACTTTAATTGATAGCCCTCATTATCCATAATGACAAAATGGAGGAACAAAATCTAAAAGCAGAATGTACTGTGCCTGCAAGAAACCCATACTTTTCAAGGTTTTTGTTGGATGTTTGGTCAACATGGCATCAGAATTTTGCCTGTTGCAGACAACATCTTTTCCGACACAACATTTGAATACTATATTCAGGATGCCATCCTTAAATACGTAAATACAACCTTAAACAAGACATTCTGCCAAAGTGCTATGCACAATACACTGGGGATTTGTATCTGTATCAGTATAGCCAGTATAACCGCCCCTCTGCGTAACACACCAGTCAGATTTTGCACTGATATCCATTTTAATAGAAGTTATGGAAATATGGTTCCAGTAGTACTAACTTGTGATTCTAAACAAAGCGATAAAAATAATCCCCAAATAAGGTGATTAATATGCCTTGTGGCCAGCTTATTAAAACGTCTAATTGACCCATACATTTTTGTCAAACATACTTCATCTATTATCCACATTTTTTTACTGATAAATCAACAGACAGTCACTGGAACTAAAGTGATATATTTTGAGCCAGGAGACCCAATTAAAACTCAGCTCTGTCAGTTGTGATTTTGACAGAGCATTTCTTGTGCCGATGTCTAAAATTCTAATGGATTCTGTTTTGTGTTTTAAAGGTATCCAATGCAATTTCAGGACAGCAAAGCTTGATTTTTAACATCAATTTTCTGTTCATTCTTTTAATGTAGTAAGTTGAATCAATCCTATCCCATAACATATTGATATCTGTGAAGCAAAAATGTATCATTGGCTGCTTCTAGCTACCAATGATGCTGAAATGATGCTGAAAATGTGCTAAGAAATGGCATTAAATGTCAATATCAGACAGATTTTCTCATCCAGAATACTTTTTATTTTGCTGCCTAGAAATTGCATTGGATACCTTTAACCATTAGCACACTGAAGTTGTTGCTAGGCTCTCTATTGGTTATGGGTTATAGGCATAGGAAAGATGTTCAATGACTGGCTTAAGCTTAGGCAAAGACCCTCAAAATACCACTAACTTAAAATTTGACATACAAAGAAATCTAGGGAGGTCTACTAATTCTGAAGTAAAGATATTGCAAAGTAAGAATATTTATGAAATTATATAATACAAAAATCCAGGTTATTATACAGTCTTTAAATCATGGTTAGTATCCAGAATCATTCCTTCAATGATAAGACATTGGTACTGAAGAAATGGGACACTTTGTTCCTGAAAACTTTTATTGACTGTTGCTATTGAGAAGTGATAGACTGTAACATATACATTTGTTACATTGGGAGAGATTTGACCATATAAAAAGAGTGTAAACAGGGAGAATATTAGAAGCATGACAGCTCAAAAGACTTTATCCCATAGTTAACAGCAGATTTAGTACAGCAGTCCTGCGTCATACAGGGGATAAAGCCTTACTTTTACATCTCAGGACCAGAATAAATCCTGGTATATGGTGAGTGGCTAGAACCTACAAGTAGTTTAAATCGTACAGAGAAGCCACAAACCAAAAATTATGACCCAACTCTAGCTCAACCTCAACAGTCCATTTATACTTGCTTTGCTATTAACTACATGTATCTTGTTTTTTTTCACAGCAGTAAATTCAACTGATTCATAGTGAGTGCAGGAGTGAATACAAGTATAAACTTTTATACAACTTTTTATCACAATTTTCTTCAGTTTTGAGTATCAGTTTTGACTCATCCAAGCAGAGGTTACTATTATATAGGCTAACTTTTGACGTTTTAAGGCATTTTTCCATGTTTAATACAAGCTTTTATTAGTATACCTTGAAGTTCCTTAACAAACATGTACATATGTAGATGGCCTACACAAAGCAAGCCTTATATATATACCTAATTGCCTAATTAAAATTTAGTTATTCTCTAATAACTACGGGTAATTAGTAGGTATCAATTTGTGCAAACGTACGTTTGTAGCTTTGACCATTATGCACATGAAAATCACACTTTTATTTCAGTTACTTGTACCAAAGTGCTATATTATAACTTTAAAGATAATTACATTTGGGGCAATAAAATGTGATGACGTCATCCATATGGTCCAAAAATCATATTCATAACCCTTTTGTACCCAGGTATCAATATTCAGTACAACTACAGTTCTTTCTAAATTTCTTTGTGAGAAAACGATGGAAAGCTAAAATGCCAAATTAGCCAGGGAGGACACCTTAATACAAGCTTTTATTAGTATACCTTGAAGTTCCTTTACAAACATGTACATATGTAGATAGCCTACACAAAGCAAGCCTTATATCTTTCCAGAAAATCTACATCGCACGCCAGTTCCATAACAGCGGTGAAAGATAAGATCAATCTGTGGGAAAAACTTTTTATGTGTGTGTAAAATGTGGACGGCTGTTAGGCGCGATTAGTGCGCTTCACATCCAGGGGAGCAATTTGTCAACTCCGTGCAAATCCACAAACAAGAAGAAAACATGATCAGATAAGGATGCACATTAAATCACCGCAACCCCACCCAGAAAGGTGAGCCCCGCTTGTCATTAAACCCGCAGAAATGTACATGTAACTACAGACCGCTAAATGACGAATGTTTGCTTGATCTTACCACGGGGGTTATTTACAAAGATTGATCGTTGTACGAGTAACGTTATTTTCCCGCGGGCGATATCAACAGTCTGCTTGCCGACGTGATGGCGTATAAATATCCGGAGAGGTGAGCGAACAGATAACTGCTCGGATTTTGCATTAGGCAGATGGTTGCTTCTTCATGTATATGGCGTATCATGTCACATGTACATTTATAATGCGCACATAAAAATGGTATTTTTCAGCATCTGCTCTATTACAAATGTATATGTATCTTCTAACAGTAACTTTCATAACTGCTCGGATTTTGCATTAGGCTGATGGTTGGTTCTTCATGTATATGGTGTATCATGTCGCATGTACATTTATAATGCGCACATAAAAATGGTATTTTTCAGCATCTGCTCTATTACAAATGTATATGTATCTTCTAACAGTAACTTTCATAACTGCTCGGATTTTGCATTAGGCTGATGGTTGGTTCTTCATGTATATGGCATATCATATAGCATGTACATTTATAATGCACACATAAAAATGGTATTTTCAGCATCTGCTCTATTATATATATCTTCCATTAGTAACTTTCATAACTGCTTGGATTTTGCATTAGGCAGATGGTTGTTTCTTCATGTATATGGCGTATCTTACCGCATGTATATCTATAATGTACTGTTACACATAAAAGGGTACTTTTTCTATTTTCTCTATTATCTTCCAACAGTAGCTCTCAGACACATTTACACATACAAATGTACCTTCAAACAATTTAAAATGGTGGTAGAGGCAATAACATTGAAGCTACATTTGTATGAATCTGCAAAAAAGATGTTACAGTAAGGAATTTTAATCGTGTTATGTATGTGCACCACCGTGTACATGCACATGTACATTTTTGTACATGTACAATGATATCATAGGGATGAGCGTTCTAAAAGACAGGCATGCTGGTGCATGCAATGTTAATATAATAACTTTCAAGCTGGATTTTAACACTTTCATACGAGTATTCATGAATTATCCATCTACAATGTATGACCTATGTGACAAGTTTTCATCATATAAAATTGATCTTTAGGTATCCTCTAATGGTTAAAAAGTGCCTTATTTTCTTGTCTTATCACGATTTGCATGTGTAATGTCAAATTCTTGTGTCACAGTTAAGTATCTCTAGAGAAGAAGAATTATCATTTGTTTAAGTTGGAAATGCAACACATTTAACATATCGAAATTAACATTCGACTCATGAGTGTCTGCTAATTCCACAATCCATAATGATGTGAGAAGACATGGGTATAATTAAACTGTTAATATTCACTCTCAGACTAACTTCAGCTAAGTATGCTAACTACATTTGTATTTTGACTAGTAGAAAATGTGTCCTTTTCTTTTGAGAACACTTTTCAAGGCTGGAAATACTTCTCAATTCCTGAAAGATGTGACTTTTACTCCAAATTTTGAACCATCCAAATATAGAATATCTTCAGATCAAATATTTTGTGAGAATGTATGTTTGCTTTCAGTCATGTGTTACTCCAGGGCAAATACTGTATAATGGGGCCTGATAGCAGGATGAGGTGGGGTTGTGTTTGGTATTGATTAGTTGTCATGTTTGCCGCCCATATGTGCCTGTGATGTCGACCGGTAGGCTTGGGGGTGGAACTGACAGCTACCGTGGTGAATTCTCGCTGTGAAGCGTATCTGTTGTG